TTTGAATTGCTAATTGATAAATTCGCCAATTCGAAAGCCAGAAAAATGCCCTTGTAATTAATTTTTTTTGTATGGTATTAAAAAATGTTATTTGCCAAATAAAGTTCATAGTTTCATAATATTGTTTTTCTTCAAGCGTGAGGGGGCCTCAATTTGTTTGCGCCTCGGGCCTCCTAACTACTAAATCCGCCACTGGGTATTAGAGATACAAACCAGAATTGTTTAATGTTAATTGAGAATTAATATAGGTGACCGATGCTGCTGAAGTTTAAAATAGATGAGATTTTAAAGGCAAATCTTCAAACCGTAGCATAACTAAACCCTGTAATATGATGTTTAAATTAATGTTTAAATTTAAATTAAAGTCCGGAGCCTTCTAGATGCTTGCTGGAATTCTGGGTGTTGCAGTCCAAACACCTAGGAAGGGCAGCAGAGTGGGAAGGCAGCTGTAATGGTTTAGCGCTGGTGTATAAATACTTTCACATAGTTGCAGTCAAAACTCTCTATGTTAATTTGTCATTATTTTATAGATTGATGAAAACAACAAAGGACTGAAGGATGTGGAATATAATAAAGAACATTCACATTCAAGAGGATTTAACGACTCCTTAGAGATTTCTAATGGCACCTGGCATTTTCTGAAGATTAAACATGCTACACACTTCAGTAGTGGAACTTATAAATGTATCTTACTGGCACCAGTTAGAGAATACAACCAAAGTACAATTATACTCAGAGTAATAGGTATGGTACACTTGTTTGCCAATCTCTTTTTTCTCTCTCTTGCAGTTGGAACTTTCAAAGTACTTTAATGTAAAGATTACTGTTTTGCCTTGCAGGCTGTCCAGAGGAATTGCAAAACCTGAAACGCAAAAAATACACAACAGAACTTGTCCTGCTCAGCTCTATTGGGAGCTTCTATTTGTTACTTATCATCCTTACTTGTGTAAGTGTTTTCCACTTCTTTTTCCCATAGGATTCTATTTACTTTTTTTTTCAAGTGTTCTTTTCCTTCCCGCATAACAAGAAAATGCAGATATACAGTATTGGCACCTTCACTATATCCTGTTTATTATCTCGCTTCACTCCAGGATTTAGAGGATTAATTTCTGAAGGAAGTTTCTAGCATGATTGTGGAGCCTGATTATGTTGTTTAGTGAAGAAATATTGGTTGTAAGCAAGACATACACAAATACAGGACATTGGAAGTTCATTGACCAAGATGTTAAGCTTCTGTGCGAGGCAAGGGTGGGGGGGGGGAAGAGAGAGAGAGACAGACATGACTGCAGATAATGATCTGTTTTATATGGAGCTGAAATGGTCAAGCTAATCAAGGAAGGGTGAAAAATACCTTCAAAGAAACAGACTGCCTGCATAAACAGTGAAGTGCAGCTGAGGTTCCTGATGTATTAACAGTGTCAATAACACTGAAAATTACACTGGACATAACACTTTGGGTCATAAAATACCTTGAGTTAGGGGAACAGTTTCTGCCTAGTGAAAATTGCCAATAACAAAGCTATTCTGGTCACGGACTAAAAAAAACACAAAAACACATGGAAAGCCTTTATGGCAGGGGTGTCAAACTGCCGAGCCACGCCCACCCCATTGCCAGCAATGGCAAAACTGTCCCAATACGTTGTGCGACGTCACGTGA